TCGGACCCGGGAAGGGGCCGCGCGGGCGAGCTGGGCGCGCGGGGCGGGCGGGGCGTTGCGAGGTCCGGGCTCCCGCTCCGCGTCTGCCTCTAGCCGGCGCCGGGAGAAGCAGCAACAAGTTTTGCGTTTCAGCAATCCATTCCAGCCATTACCTCTGCACCAATCAGCGCCGCCCGAGCGGGCCCGGGGGCGGGGCTCGCTCTTAAGGTGGTCCCGGGTCCGGGCTGCGCAGGCCTGGCCACCGACCCGCGCTACTCCGGGTCCAGCCTACGACGATGGGGGTGCGCCCTGAGTGCCCCCGGCTGGGGAGGGCGCGAGCAGAGGGCTACGGCGGGAGCCGGGCTTTGTCCGCCCCTTCCCATTCACACTGTTCCCAACTCCCCACCCCCAACTGGAGCCAGCGCGACCTGCCGGGTGGGCAGGGGGCGGGGAGGTGGGCGGCGAGCTGTGCGGGGCGCACAGACAATGGGGTCGCCTGGCAGAGCCCCGGGACTCGCCAGGGAAAGTCGCTAAGTGTAGCCTGTGCTGCAGCCCGGGGCGGCGCCCCAGGGAGCCGGCCCTGGGAAGTTCACGATGTGATCGCCGAGGGGGAAACACGAAGTAAGGTTGTCTCCCGGAGCCGGGACTGGTTTGCTCCTTCCCGAGTCTCCCACCGTCTGCGGCTTCCGGTTCTCTGCCTCTGGCTCCACCGGGAAGAAGCCACGCACATTCGGCCGCTTTCTGAGGACACTTTGGGTGAGCCCGGCGCGGGAGCAGCGAAGCGAAACAATGCGGAACCCCGAGAAGGAGCGACGCACAGAGCGCACACAGGGGGGCCCCGACACCTTGCGGCGGCCACAGGCGCACAGGCCCAGGCCCTAGAGGGCGCGAAGTCGGACTCCTTAAGAGATCAATTAAACTGAAGAGGTCAAGGGACGGAATTGGATTGTGATACTACAATCAATAGGAATAATTTAATATCTGCCCTGTTTCCTATGAAATATTTATCCCAATAATGTTAGTTAAAATGTTTAAATCTTCCTAATCCTCACGGAGGCTGAAATCTGTCTTGCAATTAAAAGTTGGAAGTTGGAGGTGATGGGAGGTGGAGGTGTTTATTATGTGGACGCGCGCGCACCCTCGCGCCAGCACGCGTGTGCGTGTTTTCCTCTCAAAGCGTAAGTAGGGGAGGAGGGGCAGAAAGGCCTTTAATTTTCCTTGCCATGAAATAAAGCGAGGCAGTTTTGCTGGCAGGCCAGGATTCTTAAAAGAGGAGGGGGAAAAGGAAAAAAAAAAAAAACTTTCGTTGAAGTGCCCTGATATCGCTATTAAATCTAAATAAAATTAAGCATGGTGTATAAAAATGCCTTTTCCCCCCACAAAAGAAAGTGTTTATCGCCCAAGTCTGTCTAGCGTTTGCTAAATTACGCATGAAATCTGAAATGAAATAAACGTTATAATAAAACCAACCCGGAGCCCTTTTTATTTAAAAACCTCAGATTAAGCACTCCACTGTCTCGGGCATGAGTTAAAAGTTACCGTGTCATTCGTGGCCGATTCATTACTCCCTGGAGCTTCTAGTTGGAAAAGGGGCTCGATTTAGGAAAGGGGGGGAGCAGGCAGCCCCAAAGGACTCCTGAAGCAATCACCCCCTCCACACACACTCACCCCCGTCTCCCACACACCCCCACTCCTTCACCCCCCCATTAACCCCCCTCCATACACACACATTCACTCACCCCACCCCCACACGCACTGGAAATAAAGCTCAGAAAGCTGTAACAAGCTCAGGCCTCTCCTGCAGTCTACAGATTTTTTTTTCCTTTTGAAATTAAAAATGAAAATTACCCCCACCAAAAAAAAAGGGGGGACCCATAAATAAGCATTGGGAAGAAGTATTTGTGCAGGGTGGTGGAGTTTTAAAAGGATTTTTCTGCAGGATCAGGTTGTTGGTCTGTGATTAAATATTGATTTTGTGTAATTAGTTTTCATGCGAACTATCCTCTTGCTGATAGCTTAGAGGTTTCAGAACTAGAAAAGAAATGGAATTGGACATGGAAATTATTACTTAGCAAAGTGACAGGGAAGGAGAGCCAGGGAGAAGACAGGGGCTTGGCCTGTGTAGGCACAAAGGAATAAGGACCCGGTTAGACACCCCCAAGTGACCCTCCAGGGCCACAGCGAGGGCCCTTGGACCTTCCAGGCAGAAAGGGGAGAGCTCGGAGTAGATCTCAGGAGGATGCCCCAGGTAGCAGAGCTGTGTGGCTGACCTTGTGCCCATCTTGGGGACAGTGGCCTTCCCAAGAGGCAGGGATAGAATACCTTGTGCATCATGTCAGGAGGGGACAGGGGTGTGTCGGAAACTGTGTGGAGCACTAGCGAGGGATGGCGGGAGCTGGGAAGAAGTTTGCACGGGCCTGTTCTCTGAGGGGCACTGGTTTGAGGTGTTGGGGTGTTACTTGACGCTCCTTGGGTGGAGCCCCCCACATCTGACTGGATTTCCTGTTTGCCCCCAAGGGAGGAGGCAGAGGCCTATTTTTCCCAGGCTCTTTTCCAGAGTCAGCACTTTGGGGTATGTGAGTGTCTGAAGAGAGGGTTTGGAGGGGACCCCTTCCTTAACACTGTAAATGGACTCTGCCTGCATTTGTCTTTGCCCTGGAAGGGCTGGCTGGCATCTACGTGTTTCTGTATATGGCAGGGGCATGCATCTTTGGAGGTCACTGTGGGGCGCGTGCGCACATGTGTGTGTGTGTGTGTGTGTGTGTGTGTGTGTGTGTGTGTGTGCACTCACATGGGTGTTGTCTGCTCCCAGCCACCACCACCACCACCACCTGCCCATCTCTCTGGGTGTGCAGCTATTTATCTCTGTGCAGTTGCCTTCACCCCTTGAGTGCCCTCACCTCTGCCCTTGTGTGTCTTTCGTCCTGGGTGAGGATGAGCACTTCTGCCTGGGCCCTCTGTGCAGCAGAGTGTGCCCCTCTATGGTGTGGGCACCCCTGTAGGACGTGCCTGTGTGTGCTCACACCTCTGGAGCCGGCTTCTAAGTTTCTTTCAAACAGACACATTGCCCCCTAGTGCTCAAACAAACTCAGAGTCCCTGCCGGCAGCAGGCCAGGAGCTGCAGAGCCTCGGGCATCCGTCAGGGCCTCCTCCTTCCTCTCCCCCTTCCTGTACCCCACCACCACCACCACTGCTGAGCATGTTGGTACCAGCAGAGGAAGGAAGGGACATAGATAGACTGGGGCCTTTGGGCTGCTGAGGGTGCTCTGAGCGGGGGAACATGTGAGGAGCTGCCTGGAATGTCCCCCCACCCCAGCTGCTCCCAACAGCCTCCAGCTGGGGCTGAAGAGGGGCTTGTGCCATCTACATACATACAACAAAACCAAAACGCACACACCCCAAACCCATGGCCCTGCAAGCGGGAGACACAGTGCTCACATTTGCCCATCAGGCCCATACAAACACACAAAGGGGACCTGTCAGCACACACACAGTTGACAGACCCGTCAGAACCCTAGAGACGGGGCGGCGAGGTATCCTCTCAGCTGGCTGAGTGCAAGCGGCTTCCCATCTAAGGTCCTAGTTCATCTCCATGGCAGCCCTTCAAGGTCCAGACCTGACCCGTTTGGACGGATGCCTCTGATGGTCAAGGAATTTGCCCAGAACCAAATAATAGCAGATCCCAAATTCCAGTCCACAGACAGCCAGGCTACTGCTAGGCCTGTGTGCTTCCGTGGTCATAGCTGCGCATGGCTGTGCTGGGAGAGGGGAGGTGGGAGAGGTGGGGGGGGGATGGGGGGGCGGGGAGTAGCAGGGCTCTTCCCCAACAAATGCTCTTCCCCTTCCCCCAAGTCTCCCATGCACCCTGGAGCTTGGGCACTTCGCAGAGTCCTCTGAAAGGCCTGGAGTAGCCCACTCCTCCAACATCTTGCCATGAAGTGGCCCCCAAATGACATTGTCCTGGGCCCATGGATTTAAATCTTTTCTTCACCTTCATGGGCTGTGTTTCCTTGGGCAAAATCCTACCTTCTCTGGGCCTCTGTTTGCTTTGTTGGAAAGGGGCATCACAGACGGATTGTGTAGAGCGTAAGGGTGATTGATCATGTTTGCAGAGCCAACAGACCTCACATGCAGCCCGTGATTAAGCGCTCGCTCCTCTCCCTGTCACTGCGGTCATCAACATGTCTCCTGCATGTGAATGCAAGAAGACAGGGAAAACGACCGTTGAACTCGGCCTTGCTCAGTAGCCCAGCTATCATGATGGGTACCTTACTCCGTCCTCCATGCTTAGTGCCCATGGAGCACCTAGATGGCACCCTAGACAGGGAGGCCTCCTGCGACCAGGAGAGAAGACAGTGGAGCTAACTGGTGGGTGGAAGGGATGAGACTTCCCTGCAGCCACAGGCTGCTGGTTGCTAAGCAACAGCAATCCCCACCTCTCTCCACATGATGACTGATATCTTCTGAGGGTGCCTCTTCTTCTAGATGTCCACCGGATGCCTACTGGATGCCTACAAGGTTCCACCTGAAAACTCAGAAAAGGAAAAGTTGTAAACAGTTTCAGCTGCCAAATCGGATCACGGGAGTCCCATTATTTGACATGAAAGGGATTCTATCAATAAGGGCTTAAAGTTTCTGTGATGGGGGAGGGGGAATAGAAAAGGGTTCACAAAGGCGGGCTTTGAAGGTAGAAGAGGAGTATGATAACCACATGAGGCCAAAGGACCTTTCCAGATGTAGGAACCAGGCTAGAGGGTGTGTGGGAAGTCTCAGGTAGCAAGAAAAAGGATCAGTACCTGAATCAGGAGGCCCTCCAGGGCAGGTGGACATGTACAGGCCTCGTGACTACCATGAAAGATCAGAAGCAAATCCCTGAGACCTGAGAGTCATTCCTTTGTCTTTCAAGGTGGTCCCAGAAGT